CCGTCTTGGGCGCCTCTTGGGCCGTCTTGGACGCGGTGAAAGCCCAAGAGGCGAACATGCGAAAAATATACGTTTTCCCATAGGAATGGCACGATTTTTGCTTCTTGGGCCTCTCTTGGGCTGCCTCTCGGAGCGTCTTGGAGGCTTCTGGGACCTTCTTGGTGTCATGACAGGCGTCTTGGAAGGCATCTGGAGCCATCGGAGCGCGTTCCGAAGCCGCCTGCGAACGATCTTGGACGGCGTCCGGCGGTCCGACGAGCCTCCGGGCCCCCCGGGGCCCACATTTGCGGTCGGGGTCCCGGCCCCGGGCCCCCGGACCCGGTGCGCCGTTATGTATATATATATATATATATATATATATATATGTACACATGAATACATATAGACATGTATAAATATACACATATATACACATAAGCATGTGTACATATATACATGTATGCATATATACATACATACATATCTACACATATACATACATGTATATGTACACATGTATAATTATATACATATATACATATGTACACATACGATACATATACGCATATATATATATATATATATATATATATATATATCTAGAACGATATATATAATTATATATAGATCGTTCGATCGATAATCATATATATACACATAAATATACATATATATGTTTATATATGTATATATGTTTTTAAAATGAATGCTGAACTGCATTGGCTCTTCGCGCCATGCACCTTAGTCCATCATGCTTGGCATGCAGTCGGAACGGCTGGAAGGTCAAGCGAAACAGTTAACGAAAACTCCTGGTCGCCTTTTCCAGTATCGTCGTTATCGGAGGTTGGGGGTGAGATCGAAGTGGAACGGAGAGCCCCCTACCGGGAAATCGGTTTCGGCTTCGGGTTCGTAACGCGCGTGGGGGCGAGGCGAAAATGCGAGGGCGGGCGCAACAAGACAATTGTCAGAACCTCTCCCAGTGGGCGGGCGATGGTCGCGTTGTCCCGCCGGTCCCGCCGGTGTCCCGTCGCTGCCCCGTCGGTGTCCCAACGCTGTACCGTCGGCGTTCCCTCGGCGTCCCGTCGGTGCTCCGGCGGTGTCCCGTCGGTGCCCCGTGGCTGTCCCGTCGGCGTCCCGTCGTTGGCCCTTGCTGGCAAACTGTTCGCCCATGCCGGCAAACTATTTGCCCATGCTGGCAAACTCTTCGCCCCAGGCCGATTGCTGCCAGTCCCTGGGGCCCGAGCCGCGCCCCCCGAGGCCCCAGAAAAACAAGAAAACGGAAGGCAAACCCGGCCGAGGGGGGAGAGCAGCGGGAAGACGAGCTGGCAGCGCGAGGGGGTGGATGAGGCTCTCCTCCTCCTCCTCCTCCTCCTCCTCCTCCTCCTCCTCCTCGCTATCAGCATCAGCATCGGCATCAGCATCGGCATCAGCATCCCCATCCCCATCCCCATCCCCGCCCCCATCATCATCATCATCATCATCATCATCATCATCATCATCATCATCATCATCATCATCATCATCATCATCATCATCATCATCATCAGCATCGTCATCATCACCACCATCACCACCATCACAACCACCACCATCATCCACAAATTCGCTGAGCACCCCGCTCGCCCGTGGTTGGGTTGCGCTGGCAACCGCAGCGTTGGGCGTGCGCCGAAGCCTGCGCCACGCCACGCGGCGCGGGCGCCGCGCCGAGAGGGCGCGGGCGCCACGGGAGGCCTCGGTGCTGGTCGCAGCACGACCCAGCAACGGGCGAGAAACGGGGCGGGCACGGGCGGGTCAAATCCCGAGCGCGGGGCGCGCGCCCCATGCGCACAAAAAGCAAACGTGCCTGCGCGCAGCCGCGGCGGGCATCGGCCGCGCGCGGGGGGCGCGCGGGCCTGTCCACTTCGCCTGCGGCGCGCCGCGGCGCGCGCAAGCCAAGCGGCGGCGCGGCGACTGCTCGCGCCTGCGTCCGCCGCGCGTGCCTGGGGCCAGCGAATGCGTGCGCTGGAACCAAGGGCTGAGTTCGTTCCATACACACAAATTTGCTGAGCACCCCGCTCAGCCGTAGCTGGGTTGCGCTGGCAACCGCAGCGTTGGGCGCGCGCCGAAGCCTGCGCCGCGCCACGTGGCGCGGGCGCCGCGCCGAGAGGGCGCGGGCGCCACGGGAGGCCTCGGTGCTGGTCGCAGCACGACCCGATGAAACGATGCGACAAGCGCCGTGCGCCGCCCACCCGTCGCGCGCGCGGTGCGCGGCGCTCGGGCGCGCGCCGGGATGTAGCAGCCGCGCTAAGAGTCTGAGCTGCTGTTAGAGCCGTCCGAGCTGTCGGACGCGGCGTTGCGCGCGGCCGCTACCCTCTCGCTCTCAACCCGAACGCGGTCGATGTAGGCGAGGTAGGCGTCGGACGCCCAGCCTCCACGTTCCTTTGTTGCTGCGGTCGGTGCGCCCGCGCGATCGATGTCATCGGCGTGCCCCCTTGTCCGCGCGAGACGGGCAAAGGGATGAGCGCGCCGCGCCGCGCGGGCGGTCGCGGGTCGCGACCTTCGTATGTCGTGAGCGCCGAATAGGTTGGCTCCGTCCACCTTCTAATTTGGACAATAGGGACCGAAGGATACGCCTGGCATCCGACCCTGAGAACTGCGCGAACGGCTGAGTGCCTACGGCTGCACCGCACAGCAACGGAGGCAGCGCGTGCACGGCGCACGTCGCGGCGTGCGCGCGGCACCAGCACCGCCGGCGGAATGGCGACGCGCACGGCTTGTTTTTCCGCCTTGGCAACCAGAGGAGTGCCTCGTCTGCCGAGATGGCCAACTCCGCCTAGCGCGCTCGGCGCGTGCGCGGGTGCCCTTGCGCGCGCGCCCTACCAGGCGGCGCGGCCCGCCGTGCGGCCGCACGACAGTGTGTTGCCGCACCACCGGATGGGTAAACACTCGGATGGTAGGCGGAGCAGAAAGATGTAAGTAATCAGAAACATGGTGGATGCCACCTGCGCGACCGCTGGGTTGGCTGGCGAATGCCGCGCGGCGTTCCCGCCTGTTCTTCCTCGCTGCGACCAGGTAAGCCGAGTAATTGCTTAATCATAACGTCACGAACGAAGCACGGTTCGCGCGGCGTGTGTCCGCCGCGCCGCACAATGGCTGCCTTGGCCTTCCTGGGCGCGCGACGCGCAGACTCGCGCGTGCGGTGTCGCGGGAGGCCGACACCAGAGCAGCCGCGGCGCGCGCAAGCCAAGCGGTGGCGCGGCGACTGCTCGCGCCTGCGTCCGCCGCGCGTGCCTGGGGCCAGCGAATGTGTGTGCTGGAACCAAAGGCCGAGTTCGTTCCATACAATCATCATCATCATCATCATCATCATCATCATCATCATCATCATCATCATCATCATCATCATCAGCAGCAGCAGCAGCAGCAGCAGCAGCATCATCAGCATCATCATCATCATCACCACCATCACCACCATCACCATCATCCCCATGATGATGCTGATAATGAGGATGATGAGGATCACTAAGATCACCATCAACATCGTAATCATGATCATCATCGTCATCATCACCACCACCTTCATCATCATCACCATCAATATCAACATCACCATCATCATCACCATTACCATTACCATCATCACCAGCAGCATCATCATCATCATCACCCTCACCCTTACCATCACCATCATCAGCAGCACCATCATCAGCATCAGCATCAACATCAGCATCAGCATCATCATCAGCGTCATCATTATCATCCGCATCATCAGTATCAGCATTGCCACCGCCATCACCATCACCATCACCACCATCATCATCATCATCATCATCATCATCATCAGCATCATCATCCTCATCACCATCACCATCACCATCACCATCACCATCATCATCATCATCATCATCATCATCATCATCATCATCATCATCATCATCATCATCATCCACATCCTCATCCTAATCCTAATCCTACTCCTCATCCTCATCCTCATCCTTATCCTCATCCTCCACCTCCTCCCTCCTCCTCCTCCTCATCATCATCATCATCATCATCATCACCTTCATCGTAACCATCATCATCCCCCCTCCCTCCCTCCCCCCTCCCTCCCCCCTCCCTCCTTCCCTTCCTCCATCCCTCCCTCCCTCCGCCCCTCCTCTCCTCTGCCCCTCCCTCCGCCCCTCCCTCCCTTCCTCCGCCCCTCCCTGCCCCCTCCCTCCGTCCCTCCCTCCCTTCCTCCGCCCCGCCCTGCCTCCCTCCCTGCCTCCCTCCCTTCCTCCTCCTCCCTCGCCCCCTCCCTCCCTCCCTCCGCCCCTCCCTGCCCGCGGCTGGCCCCGAGGCCTTCTCCCCGCTTGGAGCCTAAAGGGAGGAACTGACCTAGGGAATCGACAAGAAATCACGGACACACATGGCGGGGGAGAAGAGCGAGGAAGGTGCGATTGGGGGCCGATGCTTCCCCCTCGGAGCCAGTCCGCCCACGATGATCCTCGCCAGCAAACTTTCGAGTCGTGCCCCGGGTCTCCGGGCACCTCCGGACGCCTCTCGGCGCGGCGCAGCTGCTGGAGAGCACCCTGAAGCTTGAAAGCCGCCGAGAAACCGACGGACACGTTCGAGGACCAACGGACACCGCCCCGTCGGCGCCGCTGATGGGGAGGATCGGCAGCGGGCCCGAGGGGAAGTGAGAGGGGGCAGGCCTTTTCTCCGCAGGCGGCGGGCTTCTCAGAAGCCCTCGCGCCGTCTGACCAGTTTGGTTCGTGCCTCCGGCCGAATGCTGATGGACATTTTCTCAGAATGCTGGAAGATTCCCGAGGCCTCTGAAGGGCGCCATGGGTCTCAGAGGGGCTGCGCGGTCGACATCGCTGCATGCCTCGACCGTCTGCATGCCTCGACCCCCTCTGAGTGTCGGGGTCTGCCTCGACCGTCTGCATGCTGGGAGATTCCCGAGGCCTCTGAAGAAGGTTGCCCCTCTGACTTCCCGCCAGGGCTCCCCGCCGAGAGGCGGGCGGGCGGGCGGCGGCGGGGGCCGGATCCCCCCGCGCGGCCTGCGAGGGCGGTCCCGGAGGACGGCGAGGCCGCGCCGGGGCTGCCTGGGCCTGCGCGGAGCGGAGGGGCGCGGAGCGCGCGCGCGGGGGTGGGAGTTCCGCGTCGGCGGCGGGCCTCCCCACAGGTGGGGTCGGACTGGACGGGGTCGGGATCGCGCGCCCTCGCCGATGCATCGACGATGCACCGGTGATGCATCGGCGAGGCACTGGCGACGTCGGCGATGCAGCGGGCGGCGTCGGCGTTGAGGAGATCGGGCTCCACATCGAGCCGCGTCGCCGAGCCTCCGGCCCGGCCCTGTCTGCTCGGACCCCGTCTGGGAGGCCTAGAGACATGAGCGCTCGCAGGTTGAAGGCTACGAGCAAGACTTCTGAGTTCAACCGTGCATGCGATTTCCCGTCGCCCATGCGCATGAGTAAGCGGCGCGCCCAGGGGGAAGTGAGAAGGAGCGGGCCTCCTCTGAAGGCTCGGAAGCTCCCCGGCCTTCTGAGAAGTGTCATGAGCCTTCCCCGAAGACACAGGCAACTTCTCGGAAGGCGCATGGGCTTCTGAGGCGTCCCGCCGCCTTCTGAGAAGGCCCTCTCTCCTTCTCTCCTTCGCCTCCTCGCTCGCCGCCGACTCGGTTCTCTCTGCCCACGCCCGGACCTGGCTTTTGCCTGGCCGCTTTTTCGGGCCCGTTCGAGTCGACCGGGCCTTGCTCGGCGGCGTCCGGAGGGGGCGAGAGCTGGGGCCACGGGGGCCGATGGGCCCCCGAGGGGCCTTGGGAATCGAACGCCGAGCAAATGGCATCGGCAAGGTGGGGGGAAGCGGCCGACGTTTCGGCCGGCGCCCAGACGCTACACGGGCGAGCGTGGAGATGCGGGGGATGACGGTGAGGAGGAGGGGGACGAGAAGGACGACGGGGTTGGGAGAATGCAGGACAGGGCGAACCGATGCCGAGGAGGAAGAGGAGGGCGATGAAGGTGACACGTTGAAGTGGCGTGCTTTCATCTTCGTGTACGTCTATGTGCGCTGCTGCCCGCAATGCCGTAGAGCACCTGTGCGACTCCATATAGATTGGCGCGGCCGCTGTGATTGACAGAAGCATCGCATATAGCGATCGTTCGTCTCCATAATTTGCCAACGTATACGCTCTATACCGATAGCTTCGTTGACGCAGCCCTGCGGTATAGCTAGCTCTGTGTGACGACATAATTTGGCCCACTGGCCGTCGACAACAGCATCATCGAATATGTTGTCAGGAAGTGATGCCAGCGCACGGACCACAACTCGCACATTCGTGTAACAGTGTCTGGGCTCCTGTCTGTTGGCAGGATCCCCACGTGTGATGGACCCCATGTCTGTAAAGCCTCACCTGCGTGTGCGCGTGACCCCACGAGCCAAAATAATACATGAGGTAACCGGAAGAAGTGTGACAGACAAACAGTGGGGAATCAATCGGCCACTTGTAAAGTGCAACGCGCAGGGTCAGTGGGAGAAAGCCAAAGGAAGTAAAGCGACCGTTGGAAACAAATGCGACGCAGAAGGTCAGTGTGTGTGTATGCTGGGGGAAGGGCAGATGACGCCGTCGGAAGCCAAGCGGCCACCAGAAAGAGTGCCACACACAGAGCAATTCTGGGGGGACGGGAAAGGCATGGGATGCCCCAGGAAGCCGAGCGGCCACTGGAACACGTGCGCCACGCAGATCGACTTTCTCCCAGTGCCGAACATGAGACCCCCTCAGTTCAAGCACTGTTTTGGGAGTTTGCTGTCGAATCTTCGCGTTAAATGCTGCAGAAGTCATGCCCCATCCCATGTATCCTGTATGGGCATGGGAAACAACATACACAGTGTACCTGTTCGTGTCCGAACTCTTGTAATGTCCTACACCGCGCTGGTCATTCGAATGTGGCATGGTTACCACCTGTTTGATTTAGATCTCCAAGAGGGCCCCAAGACCCATAGAGGCCCCCAAGATTGCCTCCGAAATCGCCAGACGTGTCAAGCGAGCCCTGAGCAAGCCAAAGAGGCCTCCCAAACGTCGCCAAGAGCCCCCAGAAGCCACACAGGACCTGAAGAGGCCCCTCAGAGGCTCCCACGAGGCCCCCAGGAGGCCTCCAGGGGGCCCAACGAGGGACCCAAAATGCCTCCTCCCTCCTCCCCCTCCTCCTCCTTCTCCTCCTCCTCCTCTTCCTCATTCTCCTCTTCCTCCACCTCTTTCTCCTCTTTCTCCTCCTCTTTCTCCTTTTTCTCCTCGGCCTGGGCGGCGCTCGGTGCCGATACCTGCTCCGCCACATCCGGTTTCAATCCTTTGGAACTCCACCATGGAAGGAGACCAAATGGGGCCCCACGTGCAAGAGGAACTCGCCCACAAGAAACCTTACACAAGAAACCCAACCCTGAGACCCCAGGACGTCCATTGATTTTTGGTATGGGAACGTCACGCTTTCCATACCAAAACCATCGAAGCCCAAGAAACCCAGGAAACCCTGGAAGCAAGCAGGGTGATTCTTGGTATGGGTGCCCATTGCGAACAGAAATCTGCAAAAACGGTCAGAACGCCGCTGTGGCTTGGCCAATTTATGGCCCAGCGGTTCTCGACTGCAGGGTCGGCGGTGTCTCGCCGTAGGCGTTCCCGAAAATCTCCCCTCCCAGGCACTCGAAGGCTCGTGCCAGACACCCAGGCCCTGACGGCGCCAGCGAATCACGCAGGAGTGACGGAGTGACCCCAGGCAAGAATGGGCCGCGGGGGGGGCCAGACCTACGCTTAGGTCGGGCATGCCCCCCTACGGGGGGATTTTGGGCGAAAAATAATACATATGAAAGAATACACCCCAAATGGACAAAAATAGTCCACAAATCGTGCCCATACTATTTTTTGGGGGACTATTTTTAGATATTCCTCCAGCCGAGGGACAGACCCGACTTAGACCTACGCGCGAGAGCCAGTGCCGGCGGGACCCGCGTGCGCCCTGCACCACATGCCACACGCCGGCGAAGGGTCACTCCTGCGCGCCGCCGAGCGCAGCCCGCCGCCCTCGCTGCCGCCGCCGCCGCCGCCAGCCTGGGCCTGCGCTCCGACTGCGCAAGCGCCGCCCGCCGCCGCGCGCCGCGCGCCGCGCCGCGCCCGACCCCCGTCGGCGGTGCAGAGATGGGGCCCCGAAGGACGGGGGCCCGACGGTCGGGAACTCTTGCTCGCGTGTCGCCGCGTCGGCACCGGCGACACGCCACGCCCTGCGAGCGGATAGCGTATTGCTCCGCTCCGCGGGGCGGGAGGCTCGGAAAGGCTCGGGACGTTGAAGCCTGGGGACTGGGAAATGGCACGGATAGCGCGACGCGCCGAAGCGTGGGGGGCCAGATCTGGCGGAGCGACACGCTACCCAAAAGCTCCGGACCCAAAGAATAGGAAGGGGTCCAAGGTTGGATTTACACTGGTTGAGGCACCTCGTTCTTGGAGCCCCATCCCTCAGGACCCCCCCCCATCTTTGAACCGCCGACCCCAGCCTGCTGCGCTCGCTGTGCAGTGAGCGGGTCCCAGGGGGGGCACGAGCCCTGGAGGATCGTGGCCGTCTTCGGGCACCCTGAGCCCTCCTCGGCCTCGGGGCAGTCAAAAAACGGGCAAGGATGGACGAGGGGTGGTCCCGCGGGAAGGCCCTGGGGCCCAAGGCCCACTTCTGTCGGGACTGTGCCGCAGTGGAAAAAAAAAAACACGGCGTAATTACCCACACTTTCTCGAAGATTTGCGAGGCGGAGCGCGCCGACGGCAGCGCCTGAGGCGCCGCCAGGGAGGCCTAGCGCCGATCCCAGAAATCCGCGCGAACCTCGGGGAAATGGTGTTGTGCCGCTTTTGCTCGTCGATTCTTCCTTCACGGCAGCCTGCGCTCTGGCTGCGCCAGCACTCTGCCCGCCGCCCCTCGCCCGCCGCCGCCTCCCACGAGCCAGAGCCCTCCGTGGCCCCGCCGCTGCCGCCTCCCTCCGCCGGCCGCCGCGCGTGTCTCGCCACGACGGTGGCGACGACGGCGACGGCGGCGACGACGACGGCGACGGCGACGACGACGACGACGAGGATGACGGCGACGACGACCGTCTGCCCGCCGCCGCCTCCCTGGGCCCGCCGGCGGCGCAGCGGCCGCCCGCCGCCGCGGGGGCCCGCCAGGCTTGGTTCCCGGCGCGGCCCGCGCTGCTGGCCCGTCAGGCGCGCTGATGGCTCGGCAGACGCCCGCCACTCGCCGCCCGTCGCCCGCCGCCCTCCCGTCGCCCGCCGCTGCTCGGGCGGGTGGGAATAGTGGATAACCTCAAAGAGCGGTGAAGAATAAGGCCCTCAAGGGGCACTTTAGGGCACCTCTTGGGCAGTGCCCCTTTGGGGGCCTTTCCTCCCCCCCCCATAATATGTCACCCGCCCGAACCGCCTCCCCTTCAACGAGGTCCGCCGGCGTCGCAGTGGCCTCCAGTTGCCCGCCGCCCGCCGCCATCACGCCCCCACCACCAGCACCAGCACCAGCACCAGCACCAGCACCAGCGCCAGCGCCAGCGCCAGCACCAGCACCAGCACCAGCACCAGCACCAGCACCAGCACCAACACCAGCACCAGCACCAGCACCAGCACCAGCACCAACACCAGCACCATCACCACCATCACCACCATCACCACCATCACCACCATCATCTTCGTCCATCACCACCGCCACCATCCGCCGCCCGTCGCCCGCCGCCCGCCCGTCGCCCGCCGCCCCTCCCCCCCAAACGAGGTCCGCTGGCGGCGCAGCGGCCTCCGGTTGCGCCGCCCTGCGGGGTGCGCTGGAGCTTGCTGTACAGCGTCTGTACGTGCTCGGCGCCGCCGCGCGGTGCGGCGGGAGGGGGGGAGGGGGGGGAGGGGGAGGGAGGGGGGGAACGAGGGGGCCGAGGGGGAGGGGGAAGAGGAGGGGGACAGAAGCAAAGCGAGGGAGGGGAAGGGGGGACGGTGGAAGAGGAAAAAGAGGACGAGGATGAGGAGGAGGGGGAGAAGGGAGGGAGGGAGGAGGAGTGATGAGAAAAACAGAAAGAGAGAGAGAGAGAGAGAGAGAGAAACCAAAAAAAAGGGAGGAGGAGGAGGATGATGAGGAGGAGGAGGAGGAGGAGGAGGAGGAGGAGGAGGAGGAGGAGGAGGAGGACGAGGAGGAGGAGGAGGAGGAGGAGGAGGAGGAACATTACGAGGAAAGACCTCGCCACATGGGGGAAGGCGGAAACCGTGTGTCCACATGCGATGCCACATGCTTTAACGGGGCGAACGGGTGGTCCAGGCACATGTCCGTAGCCTACGACATCTGGCAGACGTATGTCCAGCCTGGGAGACAATATCCCCTAATGCTCGATTCACGGTGGTGTCACCAGCGACCTGCGTGGAAGGATATGCCAAAGTGCTAGATGATGGTGTGCGGACGATCTTACAATGAAGCAGGATCGCAAACACACATGCCCCGTTTAGCAGCCAGTGGACGGAGCAATGCCTTCAATGGACGCGGGCACGATGGCCCAAGTCAAGACGGCAATCACAGCTGTCGTGGATGCTGCCCGATCTTTACTCGGCGCGCCACGTGGGGCGTTGGTGTCGACGTTGCCACTGCCACCGCACTGTAACTTCTGGCGGCACAACAACGCTGGTCCGCCTCCAAGCCCGTCTGGCCGACCAACACGATGAGGACAACCTGGTGGACGTGGTGCAAAACACGACGAGACGCAAGAAGCCATGCTCCGGGTTGCCCTGGCGGCCTGGGCGACCGCGCCGCCAGTGGCGGCGGGCGCGGCGTCGAAGCCGGCCGCGCCGCAATGTTGTGAAGGCTCGACTGCGCGAGAGCTTGCCAGCGTCCCCTCACCAGGCGGAGGTGCGGCGCCGCGATTACACAACGACTGATGATGATGATGATGATGATGATGATGAGGAGGAGGAGGAGGAGGAGGAGGAGGAGGAGGAAAAGGAGGAGGAGGAGGAAGAGGAGGAGGATGGGAAAAAAACAATAGGAGAGGAGGAGGAGGAGGAGGAGGAGGAGGAGGAGGAGGAGGAGGAGGAGGAGTAGGAGGAGGAGGAGGAGGAGGAGGAGGAGGAGGAGGATGAGGGGGAGGAGGAGGAGGATTGGATTGGATTGGACACTTCGGGGTGACAAGGCTGAGCCTTCCAGCAACGAAGGTTAGAGGGATACCCTGCACCGCTCCGCGGCACAGGGCCCTCCTCCAACCAACGTGCCAGAAACCGCAACCTCCGAGCCAGGGGGCGCCACGCGTGAACTCAGCGCAACGCCCAGGAGACGGCAAGCTCGAGGCCGTTGCCTCGACACGAACAGTAAGCTACACAAGCGACTGCTCCACATCATCATCGTCATCCACCTCTCGTCCTCCTGGCCTCCACCACCCAAATGCCTACGAGCGGAGGGGCGGAGGGGCGAAGGAGGGGGGAGAATATGGTCCGAAGGGGAGGGGGATAAGGGGAAAGACGCCTAAAAGGCGAAGCGCTGCCGCCTCACCTCGACCTTGCCCTTCCCCTCGCCCTTGCCCTTGCAATTCTTCAGCGCGGCCTGGCATTCCCTGCGCCGGGCCGCCCCGCCCTGGATGGCGAACCTGCGCATGCGCGCGCAGGCGCGGCAGTCAACGACGACTCCGCCGTCAATCCAGTCCTTGCCTTTACCCTTGCCCTTGTAGTTGTCCTTGCCCTCGAGGGAAGAGACCACGGGTCGGCGCCAGCAGCCCATGGATCAGGGCGAGTACCGGCACGCACAGCCATATCACTGTTACTGTTCTTGCCCTTGCTCATGTCCGTATCGTCGTCCGTGCCTGTGACCTGCAAGGAACGAGAAGCCGGAATATCCGAATGAGCAGGAACTTCACACGCAGGAACCCGAGGAGCAACTGGAGGGCCACTGTCGCCAGCAGCAGCAGGAACGCCGCCCTGGGCAGCATGGTGTACCTCGGCGGGCGCAGCGGCATGCGGCCGCAGCGCGGCAGCCAGCGCCCCTGCGAGGCGCGAGGGCTGCACGCCGCGGTGCTCAGACAGGGCGTCCAAGGCGCGCAGCAAGTGCGCCGTGACCCGGGCCTCAGCGCTCAAGTACTGCGCCCGCCTGGCCGCCGCCGACCGGTTGGGGCGGCGGCGCTTCGGCGCAGCGTCGGCATCAGGATGCCCCTCCATGGCACTGCTGGTGAGGGCGGGAGGCAGGGGCAGGGAGAGGGGGGGGGAGGGCGGCGCGGGAGGCGCCAATAGCGCGGGCTGGCAACCAGGCCCTGCCTGTGCCGAGCTGGCGCTGGGAGGAGGAGGAGGAGGAGGAGGAGGAGGAGGAGGAGGAGGAGGAGGAGGAGGAGGAGGAGGAGGAGGAGGAGGAGGAGGAGGAGGAGGAGGAGGGGAGGAGGGAGGAGGAGGAGGAGGAGGAGGCGAAGATGAACAAAGAAGAAACCGAGGAGTAGGGGGGGTGATTGCCGCGGAGCGGGGAGTGTGGGAGCTGCTCGCAGAACCTGGGATCAGGTGGGGCTGGCCCACAGGAGCAGACGCAATACCAACATCACCTTTCAGAGGTTGGCGGCGCGCACACAAGGGTAGGGAAAGGGGGGCAGGCTTCTTAGAACGAGGCTGCTACTTAGAAGGCGCCAGCCTTACATCTACAGAGAAGGCCCGCGCCTTCTAGGAAGCAGGAGTGCTTCTAAGAAACCTTCCCCCCTCCCTACCCCCCTCTGCGCGTGGCCACGGAGGTCCGCGCAGATTTCTAAAGTCGGCGCTGTACCCCCCCTCCTGTCCTGGCGCGCGGGGCGGCCCAACGACGACCCAAGACATCCGCGCGGCCCTCCGAACGTCTGTGCTTGTGCCGTTGTTCTTCTTCGATCGCAGGACCAGACTTAGGCCGGGCATGTTACAGGCGGATTTTTTGGAGAACAACTCAAAATGGCCAGAAGATGCGCAACAAATAATCAAACATAGTCGAAACATCGTCCCTGGACTGATTTTTCACTATTTCTTGGATCCTCCTGCAGAGGGACATGCCCGACTTGAGACTGGACCCCCCCAGTCCCTCACCCGGTGGAGCCACCAGCTTGATCGCCCGACCCCGCGGTGCGCGCCTTCCAGGAACACGCCTTCCCGTCGGCGGCGAGGCGGAGGCCATCCGCACCAGCGCGGGGCTCATCGGGGCAGCCGATCGGCAAAGTGTCCGGCGTGCGAGAGAGAGAGAGAGAGAGAGAGAAAGACCCAGAGATCCAACGCACTGAAAAAATCGAGACGGACAATTTTCTCAATTTACGGTCTCTGGGGGCCCTCGCCGGGCCCCAGGACCTTCAAAAACGACTCAGGATGGAAAGCCGGACCCGGGAAATGTCGGGGGCGGCCAAGAGGGGGGTGTCCAAGAGGGGGGGGGATATCATGGCCGACGGCATGTGCGCGGCCCAGGGGGGTCACCAGGGACGTAATGAGATAAGAAGGGGCGCCTTGAAATCTGGGGAAATATCATGGCACCCGCCATGATATCCCCCCCTAATCATCACCCCCTCTTGGCCGCTCCCGAGGATTGTCGAGACTTCCAGGGACACCGTATTGAAAAAAATCACGACATCGGGTCTCTGGGGAGAGGCGAAGACGAGGGCGGCCGCGCAAAGGGCGGAGGGGGAGGGCGCTCAGACGTCCTCCTCCTCCTCCTTCTCCTCCTCCTCCTCGGAGGAGGAGGGGGAGGAGGAGGAGGGGGAGAAGGAGGAGGAGGAAGAGGGAGGAGGAGGGGGAGGAGGAGGAGGAGGAGGGAGGAGGAGGAGGAGGAGGAGGAGGAGGAGGGAGAAGGGGAGGAGGGATGCGGAAGACGAGGGGGAGGAAACCGAGGAGCGTCGGAAGTGACAGATTACGCGCAAATTTTCCACTGGCCACCGCTCCTGATCATTTCACGTGCAACCGCGCACATTTGGTTTGCATTCGCATGGGCACCTGTGGGATGGGGTGACTCTTCGAATATGGTTGGGTCTTAAATGATGATACCATTGTTTGGTTATGATCAGCTACGCAAGCGATTGGAAACATTGTGATCCAGATGGAGATGAAGAGGAAGAGGAGGATGGGGAGAAGGCAGAGGAGACGCAAGGGAAACTTTGTTGGGAACAAGAAATCTTGGAGCTGAGAGTGTCCAAGACGACAATGCTCTCCGTTACCATGTCTTCAGCCGGCAGCACACGAACGAGGGGGCATGTGAGGACGAGAGGAGAAAGAGGAGGATGAGGAGGGGCAGGAGGAAGCGGGGGAGGAAATACAGGACATGGGAGAGACGGTGTAGGGGTGTATATATTTATATACTAGGACCATCGAGCGCGCTTCGCGCGCGCTCAGGTTCTAGCAGGCCCCAGGCCTTGTCGAATTCACTGCTCCACTGAAGTAGTGTACCACAATACACGCATTCCAATCTGCATTCCGAAAAGGCCTTCGAGGAAGATGGTTGCGTAGAGGGGCGGAGGCCGTATGAATCGGGTTCCCAGAAAGCCTTCTGGGAGCATGGGTTTGGGGGAGTCTTGGGGAGCCTCTTAGTGCGTGCCGTCGTCGTCGTCGTCGCCGTCGTCGTCGTCGTCGTCGTCGTCGTCGTAATGTCGTCGTCGTCGTCGTCGTCGTCGTCGTCGTCGTCGTCGTCGTCGTCGTCGTCGTCGTCGTCGTAATGTCGTCGTCGTCGTATTGTCGTCGTCGTCGTAATGTCGTCGTCGTCGTCGTCGTCGTCGTCGTCGTCGTCGTCGTCGTCGTCGTCGTCGTCGTATTCGTCGTTTCGTCATCGTCGTCGATTCAAGAGGGCACTTGGGGCAACTTTGTGCGAAACGATCTGCGGAGGGCCGCGAGAAAGCGATCAATCATATTCCCAATCAACTTCCCAGACAACTCTCCTGTAGCATGATGGTACTTCGAAGCTTCCGGAGACTCGCGGGCCCATGATGAACCATGTCCCCGGAAGGCCTTCTGGGGACATGGTTTGTTGGGGTGTGTTGGGGAGTCTCTTGGGCGTTCCCTGGGGATCCCTTGGGGGCCTCCGGGAACTCTCGGGCCCATGATGAACCATGTCCTTGGAAGGTTTTCTGGGGACATGATTTCTTGGGGTGTGTTGGGGGGCCTCTTGGGCGTTCCCTGGGAGCCCCTTGGGGGTCTCTTGGGGCTTCCTGGGGGCCTCTTGGGCGCATCACGGGGCTTCGTGGGAGCCTCCAGAGACATCGAAATATCGGTTGGCGGTCCCCCTCTGGGCCCTCTCTTGGGGAGCTCTTGGGGCACAGTTGGTGTCTGGGGAGCCTCCTGGGCCGTCTTGGGGCCCTCGTCGGGGCCTCGTGGCCCGTCTTGGAGCGATCTGAAGGGCTTCCGAGCGAGGCCGTGAGGGAGCGCTGGGAAGCGGGGAAAGCGAGAACGCCAAAAACCTTCAAAAACCATCGGAAAATTAGTGCATCTTGCCTCCCATGGCCCTCTTGGAGAGCCTCTGGAGTCCGTCCTGGAGCGTGTTGGAGTCCTCGTCGGCCGTCTAGGGCAGCTTGGGCGTCTTCGGGGCCTCTTGGGACCGTCTAGGGCCCTCTCGGGACCTCCATTAGCATGTCGTGGCCTGCTTCGGGGCGGGCCCGGGCCGCCTCGGGACCCCTCTGGGCATTCTCTTGGCGCGCTCTTGGGGCACACTTGGGTTGTCTGGGGAGCATCTTGGGCCGTCTTGGGGCCCTCGTCGGGGCCTCGTGGGACTTCTTGGAGCGATCTGAAGGGCCTCCGAGGCCGTGAGGGAGCGCTGGAAAGCGGGAACAGCGAGAACGCCAAAATCCAAAACACTCGGAAAATAAGTGAATCTTGTCTTCCAGGGCCTTCTTGGAGAGCCTCTTGAGTCCGTCGTGGAGCGTGTTGGAGTCCTCGTCGGCTGTCTTGGGCACTCTCGGGACCCCCTTGGCCTGTCGTGGCTTGCTTCGGGGCGGGCTCGGCCCCCCTCGGGAGCTCTGGACCCCCCCCGCAACCCCCGGTGGGCATCGATGGGGGGAACAGGCAGCGGCCCGCCCACCCCTCTCGGGCCTACTCCGAGATAGAGAATCATGTTCCCGGGAAGCTCTCCAGGAACATAATATTTGTTCGGCTCTCTTAAGAGGGGGGCCTCTGGGGGCTTGCCGAGGGGCGCCTTTTGGCCTTGTCGGCAAACCTATTGGAAACATGGTTGGGGCGGTGGGCGGAAGAATCCTGTTCCCGGAAAGCTATCTGGGAAATATGATTTACCGAAATGTCTTGGGGGCCCACAAGGGGCTTCCCTGGGGCCTATTGGGGCTTCCGGGGGGGCCTCTTGGGAGCCTCACGGGGCTTCTTGGGAACCTCTTGATGGCCTCCGGGGGCGTCCTAGGAGCCTCTCAGGCCGGAGACCTTGCAATGTCGCGCTCTTCGGGCCCTCTTGGGTCGCTCTTGGGGGGCGCTCTCGAAGCCCTTGACTTTGGGCCGTCTCTGGGTTTTCTTGGGAGCCTCTTCGGCTGTCTTGGAGCGATCTGAAGGGGACGCGGTCCGGGACCGTGGGGAGGTGGAACAAGGGAGAGCGCAAAAATGCTTCAAAAACCATTGGTAAGTTTATAATTTTCGGCTTTGGGGCGTTTTGGCGGCGTCGTCGGCCGTCCTGAGGCCATCTTCGGCGTGTCCGGGGCCTCTGGGGGCTGTCTTTGGGTGCCTGGGGGTCGATGCGTCCCCCAGAATTATGTCCCCCTATCGCTGCCCCCGAACATCTGTTCTGAGAACATGCCGTGCAAACTACAATGGGCTCTTAGAGCATTCTGGGTGCGCTCAAAGGCAAGCCAGGACGCCTCGCCGCTGCTCGAAGCCCTTCGGAGAAACCCTGCACCTGCCGACCTGAGCCCTGAGCCCAAAGTGGCTCGACCGTCGCCGTGGTCGTGGCCATCGTCGTCAATTGCCGATCGGCGGCGGCAACTGGTGTCGTCGTCGTCGATCGTCGTCGTCGTCGACCGTCGCCGTCGACGACCGTCGTCGTCATCGTCAATCACCGTCGCCGACCACCGTCGCCGATCGTCGATCGCCCTGGAGCCCTCCCCCCCACTCCTCCTCCCCTCCTCGTCCTCCTCCTCCCCGCCTCCTCCTCCTTCTCCTCTTCCTCTTCCGTCTCCTCCTCCTCCTCCTCCTCCTCCTCCTCCTTCGCCCTCTCCGTCTCCTCCGCGCGGAAGAAATGGAACAACATGTCGCGCAGATGAGCAACTGTGGCCCTCCGACTTTTTCCAGTGTCCTCTGAGGGCCCTGTTGGGGCCGTCCTGGGGCACTCGAAAAGGCCCTGGGAGCCCAGAAGTAATGTTCCCAGAGAAGCTTCCGGGAACATGGTTTCGAACGGGGCCCTCTTGGGCCTCCCTGAGGCCGTCTTGGGGGCCTCCTGGGCCGGCTTCGGGGCCGTTTGTGCCGTCTTGGGGGGTTCCGTGAGCCCCACAGGCCGACCCTTTTGGGCCGTCTTGGGCCCTCTTGGGTCTCTCTTGGGCTGTGTTGGGGCTCCGCGGGGGCGTCTGGGGCACTGTGAAGACGAAGCCAGCGAGTATGCCGAAAATGCACGTTTTCCAAAGGAAATGGGAAGATTTTTGCCTCTTGAGGCGCTCTTGGGCGTCTTCGAAGCCTCTTCAAGCTTGCGTGACCATCTGTACTGCCCGCGTGGCCTGTCGTGGGCAATTTGGAAGCGGCCCAGGGCAGTCCCGGGGGGTCTGTGACGCCACAAAGGTTCGGGGGGGCCCCCATGGGGGATGACGGCACCGATTTTGACCCCCCCCCGGCCTACTCATACATATATATATATATATATGTATATATATATATATATATATGTATATATATACACATATGTATGTACACGTACATTCATGATATATGGAAAAACTGTGCCCTCCCTGGCCATGTCTGCGGCGCGCATCTCCAACTCTATGATCCTGCGGTCCTTGGTCTCGCACCTGCCCGCGACGCCCCCATGCACAATGCCATCCTTCTTCCCATCTGGGATTGAACGAACTTGCTGCCATAAGCGAGCGAGCGAATCACCTGCTAGATGGGGATCTCGCCGAGGTAGGGTGCAAGCAAAACATCACTAAGCAGGGCATCTTACCTGTGCTTTCTGGGGTGGGGGCGGGGCTCCAGGCTCGAGCCTTGAAGACGGGAACGATCACCCTCCCTGCCCCACCTCAGCCCACTGCACGTTATTTAGGTGCCAGGATTGGCGCCAACTGTAGTTATGCTCCTGAGATTGCCCAACGTCAGAAGGCCGTTGCGGCCGCTTTGTATTCCCTCGGCAATTTCAGGTCCCCGAAAAAGAAAACACCCGGTATATAATGAAATGCGCTCTCTTAATCTGTTATGTACAGAGCACCGCACTACATGGTAACGAGTCCTACGTATGTTCCGATAAGCAATACACTGAACTAGATCATTTCGTTACTAGATACGTTCGACTTGCTATGAGAGGTGAGGCCCATGAACTGATGGAGACCCCCGAAGGCACGATGCAACATCGTTCCCATAATACGTTGCAAGTCTTGGAATATTGCCGCACGGCTCCCGCGAAACTCGGGATGCGGGTGCGGCGCCTTCAGAAGATTCAGGTCATCATCGCCTACCCGTGGAAAAACAAACAGATCCTCACCTCCCCATTTGGTCACTTACCCTTTGAGACGGATCCGACGATCGAAGAGCGCGACCTGTCTCGGACACCGGATTCGTACGGGGTGGCTCTACCTGTTCACGGACGACGAGATGAATCACGAGTTTCTCATGCAAGACTTTACGGTATGACGTCGAGGTATATATGTCTGCTGTGCCTCCCCTTGGCTGGACCCCTGCTCAACTTCCCCCTCCTGCACCTGCCAACGCTCATCAAACTAAGGCTGAAACTGTATGGCTATGCGGGTTTAGGGGCGAATCGGGGTCAGTCCGCACGCGCACGCTCACGACGCATAAGGGGGTCACGCAACACCGCATGACCAAGCACGGTTTGAGGGATACCTGGACCCGAGCTGTTACCACAAACGTCTGCCCGTTTTGCCTTGTCACCTTCAATTGTGCAAGAACGGCGCACAGACTCCTCCTGGCTACCGTTGCGAGGGGGGAGACGTGTGGATTGTTTCAGATACTATGGAGGTAGATGCATCCGGATCGAGTTGAATGCCATATTTGTGGTCGTGGGGCTCGAACATTTGAACAGCCGCAGGAGCTTATCCGCACCCATCTGCCGCCGCTGGGTAGTCTTTTCTCGGAGAGACCCAGACGACATCGTGCGGTGCGCCATGGCGCCGAACCTGGCGGCGCCCACGTGGGGTCTGAAACGGACACAGGAGGACGGCGGAGCTCAGTCGCAGCAAAAGGCTCGACGGCGCATCAGCGAACTGCTCGGCCAAGACGCCAAAGAGGTCAATACAGTGTCCAAGCTGCTCATCGTCCTTACCAAGCTTTCGCGCACGAGCGCGGCCGACATTCGAGAGATCACTGGGCTGTTGTGGACAGCCCTCCTCGTCCGTTGCGCCTCCCCCGTGGCCAAAGCCATGCCGCAGCAAGGTAAGGCCTACCACCAGGCCGCGAAGGCCGCCAAGGAATCCCACCAGCCCTGTGGGCGACAGGCGGCAGGTGGTCTTCCTCTTCCAAAAAAATCCTCTTCCCCGACGGGGAAGGGTTTACCTCTCCCCTTGCCCTTCCCCTGGACTTTTTCGCGGGGGGGGGGGCACGCGAGGTGTCAGGGCGTCCAAAATGACCTCGGCGAGGAAGCAAACATCATCGGTTTTACCAAAGTGTTGACCCCATGTTGGCCTCTTGGAAAAAAGGGGGGGCGTGGGGTGGGGGTGGGGGGGCGAACGTTCCCCCACCAGCCCTCAGGGCGCCAAGCATCATTGGTTCTACTCGCACCATTTCAAGTTTTGGCACCATTTTGGTTTCGGGGGGCGGGGGGGGGGGGGGCGAACGTTATCCCAGCTCCTCCTTTGATCGGTTGCCTTCAAGATGGCCCCAAGAGGCCGTCCAATGCCCCCAAGAGGGCCCCAAGAGGGCCCCAAGAGAGCCCCAAGAGGGCCCCCAAACAGCCCCAGAGGCCCCCACGACGCCCAAGATGGCCTCTAAGCCGGCCCATATGGCCCCAGGATGACTCCAAAACGACCCAACATGCACCCAAGACAACCTGAGATGGCCTCCAGATCGCCTAAGGCAGCCCAAGAAGCCCCTAAAAGGCCTCCAAGACGGCCCAAGAGACCTCCAAGAGTTCCTACAGGAGGGCCCGAAGAGGCCAAACTCATTGATTCCCACAAGTGTTTGAAAGCTTTTGGCGTTTGCTTCTTGTCGGCAGTCCGACGGTTCCAGACGGCGCAAGAGGCCCCCAAGATCGCCTAAAAAACCTCCCATATGGCCCCATGACGGCCCAACAGGCCCGCAAGACAGCCCCAAGAGACCTCCAAGGCAGCCAAAAAGGCGTCCATGGCGGCCCAGATGGCCCCCGAATGCCTCCAAGACGGCCCAAGATGTACCCAACACTGCCTAAGATGGTTTTGAGATGGCGCGAGAGGCCCCCAAGAGGCCCCCAGAGGCCTCCAAGGCGGCCCAAAAGGCGCCCAGGAGGTCTTCCAGGAGGGCACTAAGAGACCAAAATCATTGATATTCCGAAGTATTTGAAAGATTGTTGCGTGTGCTTCTTGTCGGCATTCCGACGGCTCCAGACGGCGCAAGAGGCCCCAAAGATCGCCGAAGAGGCCTCCAGTATGGCCCCATGACGGTCCAACAGGCCCCCAAGACAACCCCAAGAGGGCCCCGAAACAGCCCGAGAGGCCTCCGAGACGGTTAAGATGGCCTCTAAGAGCTCCTGCTATGCCCCAAGAGGGCCCAAAACCCTCCAACAGGCCCTCACAGGAACCCCCCAGGAGGCCCCACAAGTGCCCCAAGAGACGCCCACGAGGCCTCCTCCTCCTCCTCCTCCTCCTCCTCCTCCTCCTCCTCCTCCTCCTCCTCCCCCTCTTCCCCCCGCCCCCACGCGGCCCCCAGGGATGACCCGAAGAAGCCTTCCAAGGTCGCCCCCGTGCTCCCAAAAATCTATCGGTTCATCCGGGTTGCTCGCTTTGTTTCCCTCGATGTGTCCCTTCGTCCCTTTTCCCGTCAGCTCTCGTGGGCAGGGTTTCTGAATTGGCTGGTGGGGATATTTTTTCGTTCGCGAGCGACGCGGAGCAACCGCGCGCCGCCAAACGGCAAAGCAAAGCGCCACGATCTTCATCTGTCTCCAAGGGCGCAGGAGCGAACTACGCTGCGACTCAGTAGGCGAAGAGGACGATGAGGATCAGGTCCACGTGGAACGCCAATGCCGACAAACAAGACGAGGAGGTGCGCCAGGTCTGCGTGCAGCGCCACATTGGCGAAGTAAGTCTCCCTGGTTCCCGAAGACCACCACCGCGTAGTCGAGGGGAACGATGACCACTGTCACGTAGTCGAGGAGGGCGAACCGTGCAGGCGCTCAACGGAAAACTCCGGATCGCCGAGAAGGGGTCGTGAGACCGCGAGCGCGCTGATGGCGGACGTCCGCGCGGGGGGGCACGACGGCGGGGGCCGCGGTGAAAGAGCAAGGTCCGCGCCAAACAAAGCACCGACAGCGAGGCGGCGAGACACCAGTAGCCATGCCCGGCGTGAAGCGACATCGCCGATCTCGTGGAGGTGGGCGCCCAAGCCAGCACGGGGGAAGACAAAAAATCAGTCGACCCAACGTTTCCGAGCACCGTCAGCAAATAGAGAAATCACCCCAGCAAAGCACCCTAAATGGCAGCGACGGTGAAGAGGTGTGCCGAGGAGTAAGAGGTCGGCTGTCGGGGACAAGGGCGAGAGCACGGCCAGGCGCACCACCGTACATTTTTTCCAATGGGATCGTGGCCGTCCAGGCCAACATTGTAGCTGGCTTGGGGGCGAGAGCACGATTCCTGTATCATCTGCCCGACGAAACGGTCCAGGGTCTAGGAGGGCAGTCTCGGTCGGGCTCTCGGTCCACCCTGTGATTTCTGTGGTTTGTTTTATTTCTACCTCTCTTAGAATCCTCTAGCGAAGCGCTGTTAGGAACAACTCAACGCAATGGGAAGAGATGGATGGGATGGGTCGGATGCCAGACATAGCGCGAGCCCTCTTCCCCCGCCTCCGCCTCCATCCTCCTCCTCCTCCTCCTCCTCCTCGTCTTCGTCCTCCTCCTCCTTCTCCTCCTCCTCCTCCATCCTCCTCGCCCGTCGTCCAGCGTATCACATCTGTCCACCTCATCTTCCTCCTCTTTCTCCTCCTCTTCCTCCGCCTCCTCCTCCTTCTACTCTGCCTCCTCCTCCTCCTCCTCCTCCTCCTCCTCCTCCTTCTCGGCCCATCTCATCCTCCACTTCGCCCCTCATCCATTTCCACCCTCTTCTCCTCCCCCTCGTCCTCCTCCTCCTTTTCCTCCTCCTCCTCTTCCTCCGCTTCCTCCTCCCTCCCCCTCCCCGTCCCCATCCCCCTCGCTTTCCTCCTCGTCCTCCTCCTCCTCCTCGTCCTCCCCTTCGTCTTCCTCCGCCTCCTCCTCATCCTCCTCTTCCTCCTTTTCCTCCTGCTCCCTCCTGCGCATCACGGGGTGAACGCGCGACTTGGCGCGCGCGCGACCCGCGTGGGGAAAGACCCCCGTCGGCCGCCGACAAGCCAGGCAAGGGGGCGGCACGGCCAAAGACAGGAGCGCGCAGTCGCCGAACAGGCTCCTCTTCTTCTCCTTCGTCGTGTTCTTCTTTTTCTTGTTCATATCATTTTTCTTCTTCTTCTCATTATTCTTCTTCTTCTTCTTATGTTTCTTCTCCCTCCTCCTCCTCCTGCTCCTGCTATTCCTCGTCGTCGTCCTCGTCCTCGTCCTCGCCTTCGTCTTCGTCCTCGTCGTCGTCACCGTCGTCGTCGTCCTCCTCCTCGTCCTCGTCCTCGTCCTCCTTGTCCTCTTTCTTCTTCTCCTCCTCCTCCTCCTCCTCCTCCTCCTCCTCCTCCTCCTCCTCCTCCTCCCCTCACTCTCTCTCTCTCTCTCTCTCGCAACGACACACGGCGACCCCAGCCGCGCTCGCGTGCCCGCGGCCGCCCCCATGGCGCCCAACCCGATGCGATGGTGGGAGCCCCCCCGGGCGCAACAGGGGGACCCTTTTTCCAGTGATGGGGAGGGAGGGAGGACGCAATCAAACACGGACGAGGTGGTGACGAGCGACACGGAAGAGGGAAGGCGCATGAGTGAGCGGCTGGGCGACTCGACAAGGGTTGCTCATGCCTACGGTGGCGCAGTGCCCTGCCAGCAGCGGTGTGGAAAAGGCGTACCTTGTCCGTATCACTGTAGACGTCGTATGTCAGCATGCGGGGTAATCTACAGACCAGTAAGCGCTATAGGCCCGATGGCCTAAATGGCTGGTTCGTAATCAAATGTCTTCAGGCAGGTCACGGGCGCCTATTCTGATGGCCATCGTCGTGCGGTGGCACGCGGGGATCGTGTGGTAATTCCTGTAGGGCCGTAAACAATCCTCGCGTCGGCGGTGCGCAGTGGCGGTGTGCTGTTTGTACTCGTCATTGGAGATGCGGCCCGCCTCGTAAAATGCCCCTGTGGTACGGATCTGCGGCTGGAGGTCACTGTCCCTGTCCCATTTGTCCCGGTCGGTGGTTGCGGTGTTGCGAAAATCGCGTGGTCGAAACTTTTGGTGGCCGTCGTCGCTCAGATGGTTGCCCTCGTAGCTCTGGTGGCCTGCGGGGCTCCGCTGATCGCCCTCGCAGTTCCGCTGGCGGCCGTCGTAAATTAGCTGGTGGCCGAAGTAGCTCAGATTGTAGCCCTCGTAGTTCAGCTGGTGTTCCTGGTAGATCTGCAGGTCGTAGCTCTAGCGGTGGCTCTCATAGCCAAGCGGCTGCCCCTGGTGGCTCAGCTGGTGGCCGAGGTAGCCCTCGTAGCTGAGCGGTTTGCCCTCGTAACTCATCTGGTGGCCCAAGTAGCTCAGCTCGTGGCCCTCGAAGCTCCGCTGGATGTCCTCGTAGCTCAGCAGGTGACCCTGGTAGTTCTGGTGGTGATCCTCGTGGATCGGCAGCCGTGGTCGGCAGGCGGCACTGGTACTTCAGCTGGTGGCCCTTGAAGCTCAGCTGGTGGCCTTCGAAGCTCCTGTTGCAATCCACGCGGCGCAGGTGGTTTTCATACTCCTGTGGGATCAGGTGGCTCAGCTGGTGGCCTTCGAAGCTCCGCTCGGTGTCCGTGTAGCTCAGCTCGTGGTCCTCATACCTCGACAGGTGGCCCTCGTAGCTCGAATGGTGGCTCTCGAAGCTATGCTCGTGGCCCTGGCAACTCCGTGGGTGCCCTCGTTACTCTGCCGGTAGCTCCTCCTCCTCCGCCTCGTCCCCCTCATTCTCGTCCCGTCCTCGTCCTCGTTCTCGCCCCCCTCCTCGTCCCCGTCGTCCTCCTTGCAGAGGCGGGCATCAAGGCTGAACAACAACGCTGCCTTCCCTCCCTCGCCCTGTTCTTGCTCCTTTTCGTCTTCCTATTTCTCCAGCTCCTGCTCGTCCTCCTCCCTCTTCGGGGCCCTCCAGAAACCTCCACGGAAATCGAATACCTGGGGAGTATACCTCCGAGAACCTTTGGGTACCTCCTTTGCTTAGACCAGCCGCGGGAACGCAAACACGAAACGATGACCTTCTCCTTCTCCTCCTTCTCCTCCTGCTCCGTCCCCTGGAGACGGCCAGGTACTTCGCGAGACCTCTGGGGACCTCCAAGGGCCCCTGGGAACCTCCTTCCGATGACAGCCGGGCGAGGGAGGCGTGCTGGCTCCCGCAGGTCGCGACGCGACATCATCAGAGGCCGCTGGCCCGCTGGGACGCCTTCGATGGACCATTCCGACGCTGATTGCAGTGGAGATGCGCTGATGCGAACGACCGGATTGCAAAGCGCAACAGACACCACCGCTCTGTCCGACGCACGGCGTGGCACTGGCGCGCCAGGCTCCCCGCCCGCCGCCCGCTCGATGACGGCGGCGCGCTTGGCCTGTTCCAGCTGCGCCGAGGTAAGTAGAACTGGGGCCACAGCTTCACATGCACAGAAACGCCGGATTCGGGGAGACGTAAGACTTCTCCTCCTCCTCCTCCTCCTCCTCCTCCTCCTCCACCCCCTCCTCCTCCTCCACCTCCTCCTCCTCCTCCACCTGCTCCACCTGCTCCTCCTCCTCCTCCTCCTCCTCCTTGCCTGTGTCGGGGAGACGTACGGCTCGGATTCGGGGGACTCGGGTTGGGCCTGACGGCCCCTCGGAAACATGACGAGGCCCAATCTGGAATTGAACGCGAACTCCCGCTGCAAGCATGTCATAACAACTGGACCGTTGAGTTGAAATCCAGGACGGGCCTGTCAAAAAGTGTCGTCGCCGAACCCGAGTTCCAACGTACTCGCGTCCTGCAGTTCCGCGACTTCGGTACGCAGCTCCTCTTCCTGCTGCTTCCGTGTGCATCCTGCCCCCCCCCCCCCCTCAAAGCCCAAGCCACTGTTGCGACGGCCACGCACGAAACAGAAGCAGCTGGCCCAGAGCCTTCACTGCTTCGTCCAACGCCATGGCTTCTGCCTCCTCCCTCCGCCCTCCCTCCTCCGCCTGCTTCTGGAGCTCGGTGCTCCATCCTTGCGGCTCCCCGACGGGGGGGCCCCAGCCGGCGCTGCGGGGCACGACGCTTCCTCCTGCCAAGACGATCCGATCCCCCCTCCCTCCACCTCCGGCTCCTCCCTCCTCGGCCTCACGCCCTGGGCGCCTCTCGCAGAAGATGTCGTAACACTCGAAACAGCCATACTGCCCGCAGATCTTCTCCGTCCGGGGGATGAACTGGTCACAATGTGGAGGGGGGCAAAGGGGAGGACACGAAGGGAGAGGGAGTAAAGGTGGAGGGGGCAAGGATGGGAGGAAGGGGGTAGCGGCGGGATGGAGGGGCGAGGGGCGGGAGAGATGGACGGAGGGAGGAGGGAGAGGCAAAGGGAGGGAGGGAGGGAGGTAGGGAGGCCAGAGGGTGCAGGGGCGGCGGGGGGAAGAGGGCATGGGGAGGGGGAGGGAGCATGGGGATCGGGATACAGGGAGAGAGAGAGAGAGAGAGAGAGGAGGGATGCATGGGAGGAACGGGCGAGAGGGGAACGAGGTGCAGAGCGAGTGGGGAGAGGCAGGGGGAGGGAGGCGGGAGGACGCCCTCTGCGTTGCTCGCTCTGCGATCTGCTGGCGCTGCCCACGGCGGGCGGTGCGCCCGAGCACGCGCAGAGATCGCGCGCGAAGGCGGTCCCGCACACGGCATGGGGATCCACCTCCTGTCTGCTGCTGCTGCTGCTGCTGCTGCTGCTGCTGCTGCCTCCTCCTCCTCCTCCTTCTCCTCCTCCTGGTCCTCCTCCTCCTCCTCCTCCTGGTCCTCCTCCTCCTCCTCCTCCTCCTGGTCCTCCTCCTCCTCCTCCTCCTCCTCCTCCTCCTCCTCCTCCTCCTCGAGCCTTGTACCCCGGCGGCGGGACCATCAGCCGGTGCCCGCTGGGGCCGCCGTACTGGGAAGCGCCGCCTGGCTCCGGGGATACTGTCTTCTTGAATCTCTATCACTGAGCACGTGATACTACTCATGCCACGGTGCCAACACACTTTCTTTGAAACCGATGCTGACGCTCGAGCGTTTTGGGCGGCGCCAAAAACGGCCCCCAAACAACAACGGCGCTCCCACTCGATGCTTCTCGCGTTTCATCCAGGACTGGTGCTGCCGCCTCGGTGCTAACAACCGGGCCTCCTCGCCCTCTTCATTTACACAGGCATGGCCCTCGTGTCTCGCCGCTGAAGCTGGCCTCCCAACAACAATATCAACGCTCTCGCTCCGTACTGCCTCGCTGTTTACTCAGGAATGTCGCTCTCGCCTCGGCACCGGCTGCTCAGGCGCTCCCATTAGTGGAGATGGGGTCCAACTGCGGTGGAATAGGCTTATGCACCCTACTCAATATTCTGTCCCATCCGGTGTGAGCGTTTCATCCGCCCGTGTTGCTTCATGGCACGACTTTGTCCGCCGTCGAGGTGTACTCACCCGCTTGTTCTTGCAACAGAACTAGCTTACTCAACGTCCTCCGGAGCTTACTGCGCGCCGTTTGATCTCGAAAACAAACGGGCTTTGTCGCAATGTCGCCTGAGGGCACGCTCACTCCGCGCACCTGGATTCACATGCGCACCGTGACAGAATGTAACGCGAGTGGCCCAAACTGCAGGGCCCGCGTGACGCTAAGGCCCGAACTCCTTGCACGCATGGCGCCACCGCCTCAATTCGGCACATCCCTCACGCACTCCGTGGCGCCACAGTGAGCGTCAGCTGAAGCACCACCTCCAAGGCCCGCAAGATGCCACCGTCTCGTTGCTGCACACCCTTCAAGTGTTCGTAGCCTCATGGGGAGCTCCAACTGATGCCCAAATTCCAGGGTCCGCATGGCACCGCCTCATGTCGGCGCACCAATCACACTAGAACCTTCGCGCGCGCTTCGCGCGCGCTCAGGTTCTAGTTGTGGGCACGGCCTGGTCGCTGAGAGGGGGGTAATTCTTGCCACTAGGACGGCGGGGTCTTCTCCCACCCCATGTTCCGGAAGCGCGCTTCTGGAACATGGGGGGGCCTCTGATCATTCTCATGCGCTCCTGCGCCCTCTTCGCTCGCACCCTGGACCCTGGACCCCTGCCCTCTGTACCTTGCGCGATCGTCGTCGTCGATGTCGGCGGCGCATGATCCCTTTCCCATGTTCCGGAAAGCCTTGTCTGGAATATGGGGGCAAAAGAAGGCCTCAAGCGGGCCTCCTCGGCTTGTGGTGGCCGGAAGGCTCCATGGGGGCTCTTGGGGTTCTCTTGGGGGTCTCTGGGGGCCTGTATTTGTCGCCTCTTGGAGTCTTTTGGAGGCCTCTTGGGGTCTCTTCGGATCTCCTTGGGGACTCTTGAGGGCCTCTTGGGACCTCTTCGGGCCCTCTTGGAGCCTCCTGGGGCCCTCGCGGGGCGGAAAACTGGATTTTGAATGTTTGGTCGTCCTCTAGGGCTCCTCTTGGGGCCGCCTAAGAATCCTCTTGGGCTGTCTTGGGTGTCTCTTGGGCCGTCCAGGGAGCGTCTTTCGGGCCTTTTGGGCCGTCTTGGGGTGTCCTGGCTGGCCTCTTGTGCCGTCTTGGAGCGTCGGGAAGGCGAAAGGGCGAGAAGGCCAAAAACATAAAGAAATACCAAGGAAAATTAACAATTCTCCCTCCTCGGGGTCCTCTGGGGAGACCTCTTGGAGACTTCTTGGATCGTCTTGGCGGCCGCTTGGGCCGTCTTGCGCTCATCTTGGTCGTTTCGGGGGCCTCTGGGGACGTCTTGGGGGCCTGTGGGGGCACTCCAGACTCGTCCTGGGGCTCTCTAGGCAGATTCGCAGCACGGCTAGGACTCTCCGCGGGACCTGAAGCCACCATGGTACCCCGATAGATAGATAGATAGATAGATAGATAGATAGATAGATAGATAGATAGATAGATAGATAGATAGATAGATAGGTATATATAAACACACATAGATAGACGATATATCGATACATAGAAATATTGATATATATATATGTATATATATTCAGCTAGGTCGATATATATATATATATATGATAGATAGACATATGTATATATAGATATATAGATATAGATATATATATAGATATATATATATATATATAGATAGATCTATAGATATACATATATATATAGATATATATATAGATAGCTATATATATATAGCTATATCTGTATACATATATATGTATATATAATAAGTATACGTGTATACCTATGGGGGGTCTCTTGGGGGCCTCTTGGTGCCTCTTAGGGGGCCTCTTGGGGCCTCCTGGGGACCTCCTGGGGCCTCGTGGGATCCTCTGGGGCCGAAAGCTCGGAATTTGAATACGGCTTTCCACCTCTGGAACTCCTCCAGGGCTCGTCCTTGGGCGATCTTGGGGGCCTCTCGGGCCGTCTTGGGACCCTCTTGGGTCGTCTTGGAGCCCTCGTGGGAGCCTCTGGGGCAGTCTTGGGGGCCAAGTACGCGCACGCACAGACACACACACAGACACACACACACAGACACACACACACACACACAGACACACAGACACACAGACACACAGACACACAGACACACAGACACACAGACACACACACACAGACACACACACACAGACACACACACACACAGACACACACACACACACAGACACACACACACAGACACACACACACAGACACACACACACAGACACACACACAGACACACACAGACACACACACAGACACACACACAGACACACACACAGACCACACACAGACACACACACAGACACACACACACACAGACACACACACAGGACACACACACAGACACACACACACACACACACACAGACACACACACACAGACACACACACACAGACACACAGACACACAGACACACAGACACACAGACACACAGACACACAGACACACAGACACACAGACACACAGACACACAGACACACAGACACAGAGACACAGAGACACACAGACACACAGACACACAGACACACAGACACACAGACACACAGACACACAGACACAGAGACACAGACACACACACAGACACACACAGACACACACAGACACACACACACGGACACACACGCACACACAGACACGCACACAGACACACACAGACACACAGAGACACACAGAGATACACAGAGACACACATAGACACACAGAGACACACACAGAGAGACACACACACAGAGACACACGCAGAGACACGCAGAGACACGCAGAGACACACAGAAACACACAGACACACAGATACACAGATACACAGACACACACACACACATACACATGTGCGAAACATATACGTTGCCCTTAGGGAATGGAGCGACTTTTGCCTCTTGGGGCCCTCCTGGGGGGCCTCTGGGAGCTTCTTGGGGCGTCTGGGAGGCCTCTTGGGGTGTCTTGGGGGCCATCTTGTGCGTCTCGGAGCGGGGGGGGCCCGGGGGTGGGGGGTCAGATTCGCATCGCCTCTGGGGGTCCTCCTCTCCCACGCAAGTCCTCCTCCGGCGCGCCGGTCCTCCTCGGGTCCTCTCCAGGTGGGGAGGAGTCCCAAGGGGGCTGGTCGTCGTCGATGTCTTTCAGGGTCGGCAGCACTGGCCGTCTGGCCGTCAGGCCTTCACAATGTACGAGGACGCCGACCACGACGGACGACGCCGATGACGAGAACAACCGACGACGACGACGCGTGGTCCTCGTCGTGGTCGGTGTCGTCATCGTCGTAGTCGTCGTCCACGCCGTGGCCATGGTCGTCGCCGCCGCCGCCGCCGTCGCCACCGCCGCCGTCGTCGTCGTCGTCGTCGTCGTCGTCGCTATGGTTCGCTGAGCGAGTTCCACTACTTGCAAAGTGCCTACTCGCAAGCGTCCGAAACAAAATCTGTATCCGTCTATGTAATGTATCGTAGATCCCCCGCGTTGGATCCAGGTTATTTGCGAGAAGTAGAACGCGTTTGTCCAATGGTAGTCGTCGTCGATGTCGTCGTCGCCATGGTAGTCGTCGTCGATGTCGTCGTCGGCGCTGTCGGCGTCGTCGCTGTGGCTCGGGGGTGCGTTGTGACTCCCCCCCCGTCCTCCCCACACTTTTGTGAGGTGAGCAAGGGGGAGGGCGCTTCTCGCGCAAGAGGGATGGGGCGAGGCGGCCGGTTCCGGAGAAGAGTGCGTGGGCTTCCATAGAGTTGGTCCCAGTTCCGAAGAGGCGTGGGTGGGCTTTGTACCAATGCGGTGGACGCAGACGTCGCCCCCTCGGACCAAGCCGCAAGAAGCCGATTCGCCGGCGACCACGGCGCTACGCTGGCGCTGGTACAGGCGCTGGCGCAGGCGCTGGCGCTCGTGCGCAGTCGCCGTGGCTTCTTGGCCTCGGCCTTCGCCTCCGCTTTCCGCTCGGCCTACTTCGCCTCGGCCTGGGCCCTCTGAGTGTGCACCGCGGCGTAGACAGCCTGAGCCTTGACGTGGGCCTTCTGCGCCTCGTACTTGGCCCTCCGGACCTCGAATTCCGCCTGCGCTGCTCTCCTGGCGTCCGCCTCTAGCTCCGCGTCGAGCTGCTTGTCGGTCTCCCTCCGCGCCCGCGCCTCCCTCTCCTCCTGCCTCTTGGCGTCCTGCCTCTTCCTGCTCTCCGCGTTCACCGCCTCTTCCGCCCGCATCTGCTCCAGCTCCTGGCCGCGCCTCCGCAGCTCCGACTCCCGGTCCTCCGCCTGCCTCTGCACCTGCGCCTCCCCCTCCGCTCGCCACCTGGCCTCCGCCTCCGCGTTCCGCGCGGCCTCGGCCATCAGCAGGGCCTTCGCGTCCTGCGCTGCCCTCTTCCCCCGGGCCCTCTCGTCGGCGGGCGTGACCTCGACCTGGCGTAAGGTCGGGCATGTCCCCCTGCAGGCTGATTTTGTGAGAAAGTATTCAAACATATTTAAACATAGCAAAAACAACTACTAAAATCGTCCCCAGATTATTTGTTTGGGCTATTTTCGAGTTTTCTCCCTGTAGAGGGACACGCCCGACTCAAACCTGGCGAGGCCCCTTCTTGAGGGTGGTCAGCACGCTGCCGAAGCCGAGGCCGCACTTGAGGTCCAGCCGGCTCCCGACGGCCCGGCACCCGACGGCGGTCCTCGACGCGGGGTCCTCCTCGAGGGCCCAGTCCCTGTACGTCTCGGCCAGCTTCTGGTTGGCGCACAGGCTCGTCTCCAAGATCCTCACGTAGCACCCGGGCTCGGCGTGATCCAGGTCTACTCCTCCTTCGCGCTGCAGGGACAGTGCAGCAGGCAGGCTCAGCAGGAGGACAACATGCGCCCTTGCCATTCGCCCGCCGAGTGTAGAAAGAAGGAAATGACAATGTGCAGAACAAAGCCCTGGGAGCGGCCTTGAGCCAAACAATGGCGACGGAAGATGAGCAGCAGCACGCGGAGGAGGCAGAAGAGCAGCAGCAGCAGCAGCAGCAGCAGCAGCAGCAGCAACAGTAGGAAAACCCTGGCCGCTCCTCCTCCTCCTCCTCCTCCTCCTCCTCCTCCATACCCTTGTGTGGCCGGCTGATGATGCTGCCTGTTCTCGTCCTCATCCTGCTACACCACGGCCGTCCTCCTTCCCATGAGGCGGAGCGGCACCGGCATGATGCGTAACGGCAGCAGACGAAGAAGGATAATAATACTAATGATGATAGTAATATAAATAATAATAATAAAAATAACAATACGAAGAAGAGGCAGCAGCATGACGAGGACAATCAGCATCAGGAGCATCAACAATGAATCATCCTGATGCTGCTGCTGCTGCTAATTCCACTCCTCGTCTCGGCTCTCATCATGGTCACTTTTCCCCCTTTCTCCTGATGCGGCTCATCGCTCTGCTCCGCTCCTCTCCCTCCTGCTGCTGCCTCTGGAGAGGATCCTCCTTTATATTGCTTCTGCTGGTCGTCGCCCTTCTGTCCTGCTGATACCCCTCATCCCAGCCACGATCCTGCTAATGATACGGATCTTTACTGTCATTCTCCTGATCCTGATCCTCCAACGCATCGAAGGAGAAGTACGCGTGTATACGTATGTGTGTGTGTTTGCATGTGCGTGTGAGTGTCTACAACACCAATCTGCCTAGCAGCATGTATCATTTGCGCTTCAATGTCTAACACCGCTCTGGTGAGCCAGTGGCCGCAATTAGCCCCGTGCTGTCGGGCTTGAATTCACTTATCCTTGTCTTCTGGCCGCTGCATGTTCTGTTTGGACTTGCAGCTCCTCTAACTCACCCATCGCTTGCATGTTGCAGAATGCGTCGCTTGTACGCTGCGCTATCGACAATGCTCGGTCGCGATTCGTCGGGGATCTTCTGACCCGGGTCAATCCAGACCCGGGTCAATCAGGCCTGCAAAATCCTGCAAGATCCTGCACCCAAACCCGGGTCAATGCGAAGGATCCTGCAGGACCCTGCAGGATCCTGCACCCAAACCCGGGTCAATGCGACCCTGGCGCTGCAGGATACTGCAAGATCCGGCGCTCTGGCTGACCCCCGTCTGCACTGACCCCCGTCTCGAGGTTCCCGAATTCGCTCTTTCATCTGCTGCCCGCGCCTGGGGACCCTCTGCGAAGCCGGTTGGAAAAGTGTGCGTGTGAGTGTCTCGTCGGCGTTTGCCCTGTGCGTTTGCGGTCTCGCGTTTTTCTGCGTGCCTCTGCTCTTCTTCCAGGCCCACCCCTCTGCAACGGCAGGTGGCAATTACACTAGAATTAGGTCGGGCACGTCCTCCTACAAGCGGATTTTAAGCGAAAGTTGCAAAAAAAGCCCCAAATACTCAGAAATAGTTGAAAATAGTCTAAAATCGTCCCCAGACTATTTTTGACTATTTTTGAATGTTCCTCCTGTAGAGGGACGTGCCCGACTTAACACTGGAAGCGTGCCCCGCCTGTAATCGCCGTGGTGCCGCCACCATGCCGCTAGACAAAAGATGTGCGTGTGCGTGCGTGTGCGTGTGTGGGTCCCTGTCAGCTCTCTCGCTCTCTCTCGGGCATTCGCAGCACAGGGTTTCATGGGACCTGGTTCAGTGCTGTGTGCTGGGGGACACCTCTCCCGCCCGATTCCCTGTCTGGAACTCTGTCTGTCTCGGGCATTGGCAGGACTGGGTTTGGTGGGACCTGATTCAGTGATGCGTGCTGGGGGAAGCCTCTCCGCCCCACTCCCTCTCTGGAACTGCCGCCACCCGCAAAAACACGGGCTGCGGCAGACCTGGCGTAAAGTTGCAGGCTGGCACCACATTTGTTTGGCTTCGGGTTCCTATCACTGACGGGCTCCCCTATTACCAGAGGTCCTGGCTATGCTATACCCGACTCTGCCTCTCTTCTGGCGCCGGCGCACCCGCAGCCGCGGCACATGCCTTGGTGGTGCTCTTGTCGCTGCGGGTTTCTGCCAGCCAACCCTTCCGCCTCGGGATCCGCCCGCACCTGCCTGCGCGGCCGGTCTCCGGCGCATCCTTCCTTCGGGCTCGCACACAGCCTCGCTCGCGTTGCACCTGGGCACCTCGCCCGTGCGCGGCCATACTGAGCATCCGCAGCTGGAGCACCAGCCGCAGCTCGGCTGCACGCCTATCGCGACGTCGCCTGCGCGTTCCCACCGCGGTCGGTGCCTCTCTTCCTGGCAGCCTCTGAGCAGTCCGCCGTTGCACACGCTCGCCTCTGGGCCGCCCCCTTGTCGGTACCGCGTTCACTGACTGACGGGGTTGGCTCCGACGCGGATGGGCAATTCACTATGACGCAGCCCTTCTTGAATTCCTTGCGATTGTGGTGCCACATCGCCGGTGGAGGACAATTTCTGTGTGTCTGTCTGTGCGCGCGTGCGTGCATGTGAATGCGGGGTGATTGGGAGGGTGGTGCGTGTCCGCGCGCGCGCGCGTGCGTGGGGAGGGCGGTAGCAGGGGACATTTTGTCAGATGGGAGCACGCGACGCACTTGGCGCAGCGGGAGCACCGTGCGCGCCTGGTACGCTTAGGTTCAAGTTGGGCGTGTCCCCCATACGGGCGGATCTTGGACGAAAAAATGCAAAATACTCGAGCAATGCTCAAAACAACAATCAACAAATACTTTACAGATCGTCCCCAGACGATGCTTTGGCTATTTTTGAATGTTCCCCCTGTAGAGGGACGTGCCCGACTCAAGCTTGGGCCCCAGGTGCACCTGGCGCGCCCAAGCGTGGCGCACCTGGCGCCTGGATGGACTCCCAGCCGCCGTCGAGCTGATGCCTCCGCCAGTGCTCTGTCCAAGGGGGGCGGCGCGTGCAGCGGGATACTTAGCGGGCGGGGGTGCGCGACGCAGCTCCTGGCGCGAGAACCCCCCCCCTCCCTCCTCCCCCTCCCCTGGGCCTGGACGGGGCGGGGAAGACCGCGAGGAGGCAGATTATCCAAAAGATGGCCCACACATTGTCCCAGATAGCCCAAGAGCATGGCTTGTAGCAGCATCGACCAGAAAGACAGAGAACCCAGTTTCGCTCAACATGGCCTCCAGCATATCTCCAGGAAGCCACAAGACCGCCGAAGCGCGGTTCCAAGTGGCCGAGGGCCTTCCAAAAAACGCCCCGAGAAACAATTGTCCTGCACATCCCTGGCGATCCTCGTGAGAGACGTGCAAACATGGACGCGCGCCGCCATACGGTCGGGCCCTGAGACCGCAGGTGGAGCTCCCTATGGGGCCTCGACTTTCGTGGGACTACACGTAAGAGTGACCCTAGGCCAAAGTGACCTTTGGTGCGCGGCTTCAGGGGCGCCCGCGGGGGCCCAACGCAATCGCGCAAGCCGGCGCTGCCGTGCCGCATCAACGATCGGCGGGGCGCCACTCGAAAGATTTTTTGCGCCAGCGGGCAACCGCGGAATTCCGCCGATTGAATTCGAGCGCCCCGAATGGCACTTCGAAGGGCTTGCGAAAGCAGACGCTGCCGGGGGCCGCCGCGATGAGGTCTGGCACTGCCGGGTTGCATCGCGATGGCGTCTGACCAAGCCTGGCGCCATGGCCAAAACCGGCCCCATCCGAGAGCCCGGAATATGTTTGAATATCTTTGGATATCTTATACTAGTAGAAATCCCCATTGGTTCGAAAAACATTTTCAAACATATTCGAAGATATCCAAACATATCCAAATATATTCAAGCCAGACGTTTTGGGATTTGGGCTGGGATTCGGGACTGGTCCTGAGCCGGAAAAAATGCCGTCTGGTCGACCGGCTCCCCCTCGGATAACCAATGCAAGCTGTAGGGTTCGACGCGTATGCGTTGCTGTCGATTGCCAAGGGTGGGCCCAAACCTGGCGCGCTCAGATGCGAGCGTAATAACGCGATGCGGGTGCCGACGCGAGGTCAAGCTCATTCCACAAGGCAAATCTCCCGACACCCTGTGGGCCAGCACCAAAGGTCACTCCGGCGAAGGGTCATTCTTACGTGTATAATGGGCGCGGCGCCGCCGCTATGCGGCCGGGCCCGCTGAAACCGTAAGTGGGGCGCCATTTCGACCTCGTCCACCTCCTCCTCCTCCTCCTCCTCCTCCTCCTCCTCCTCCTCACCCTCCTCCTCCCTCCTCCTCCTCCTCCTCCTCCTCCTCCTCCTCCTCCTCCTCCTCCTCCTCCCCTGCTCCCCTCCCAGTTCCCCTCCCTGCCAACTCTTCCTCCTCCTCAGCGCCAGCCTCCATTTCCTCCTCCTCCTCCTCCTCCTCCCGCTCCTCCCTCTCCCCCTCCTCCTCCTCCAGCCTCCCCTCCTCCACCTCCTCCCCGTGAGATCCGTAGCCATTTTGGCTCAAACTGGCTCGAGCTCCCCCTGGCGAGGCGGGCGGTGCGAGCATGGTGGCTGCAGGAGGCGCCCCTGGAGGGCGCCAGGCGAAGGCGATGTCGCGGCAGGAGCGGCGAGTCTGGACCAAGGCCTCGTCGGACAAGCTTGCGGAGCGCCCCGCCGAGCAGGTGGCAGGTGGAGGAGCTCCGCGCGGGCCACGGTGCTGCCTTGGATGCGCTCGATGCGGTGGCCGAGTGCGACGGCCTCGCGGGCCGCCTGGCGGCTTGCGCGCCCGCGGATGGGACACCACCGTGGGTGGGACGGATGTGGCATCACCGTGGACGCCAGCGCCGCGGTGCCCAACGCTGGCAGAGCTGCCGCGCCGCCACCTACAGCACAATCCAGCACACGGGGATCTCAAGCCAATGATGGGGACAGCTCCCCAAAGATCCGATGTCGTGATTTTTTTCCATGCGGGGTCCCCGGAAGTCTCGACCCATTGCCCAGG